TATACATATATACATATATACATATATACATATATACATATATACATATATACATATATACATATATACATATATACATATATACATATATTATATATTATTTTTAAGAAATCAGATCAGTGGTGGGATTCAAAAATTTTAACTATCTGTTCTGTGGGCGTGGCTTGGTGGGCATGGCTTGGAAGGCTACTGCAAAATCTCCATTGCCTCCCCATCAGTTGGGACTTGGAAGGCAAAGAATAGATGGGGGCGGGGCCAATCAGAGGTGGTATTTACTAGTTCTCTGAACTACTCTAAATTTCCACTACCCGTTCTCCACAACTGGTCAGAACCTGCTGAATACCACCTCATACAGACGTCGTATGTAACATTTAAAAAACATTGAATCTTGGGACCCTGAATAATTCATAATTTTATTAGCATCTGATGATCTGAGCACTTACGTAAAGCACAGATTTAGCAAAGATTCTTATGTTAAAAAAAAAACTCCTTTTTTTCCTTTCCGCCTCAAGAAAGAGAAGAAAAAGCAATCATCTGCACCAATTTTTGGTCTTTCAGTCTGACATGCGATGATGTCTTTCCAAATCCTGAAATGAGAATGGTTTTGCTTTTATTGAATTTGCTAACTTCTCTGAGGAAAATATTTGAAAATGGCCCCTCGATCCAGCCAGAGAGAAAGAGGTTCCTGCTCAAGTGAGCCAGTTATTTTCTCTCTCCCATCTCTTCTTGTGTTTTTTTATTCAAAAGGAGCAAAGCCAGCTTCCCCCACAGAGAGAACAATTCCTGTTCAACAGAGCGCCTCTCCCACTTCTCTCTCTTTTGTTTCGATCTGGAGAAAAACAAGGATTTCTTTCTCTCTATCCATTCCCTCCCTTTTTTTTAATCAAGAAGAAGCTGAGCCTCCTCTCCTGTTCATGGACAAGGACAGGTAACTCTCTTTCTTTCCCTTTCCTAACTGATTCTGAAACTAAATAACTTCTTGTTAAGTTGAAGAATCCCCCTTGTCTTCCTATTTCTCCAGGATATTGAATGCTGAAGCTCTAGGTTTCTGTTGTAGCCTCAAGACCATTCATGATTGAAGGGCTCTTTGTTAACTAGTCATCTGTTAACCTCCTGCCTTTCTTGTTTGCTGTGATGAATCTTTCTCTCTCTCTTTTTTTGCATTAAATTCATCATAGGTTTAAGATCGTTGCTTATGATCTCTGTATTAGCCTTAAAATGGTTAACTATTAACTATTGAATACCAGGCGATTTATGTGCCATTAACCTCTTCTATTGATCTGTTGTTACTAATTATTATTCCTTGGTTGGAATTGTGATACAGATGTACCTGCTAAATAATATGTACTGTTCGGGTCCAACAGAAGTCATGTTGTGAGTTGACCAATGCCTTATATCAGTGTTTCTCAACCTTGGCCACTTGAAGATGTCTGGACTTCAACTCCCAGAATTCCCCAGCCAGCGAATGCTGGCTGGGGAATTCTGGGAGTTGAAGTCCAGACATCTTCAAGTGGCCAAGGTTGAGAAACACTGCCTTATATCACTCATATTCCACTCCTCAATATAGTGGTGGGATTCAAATAACCCATTCTCTGCCCTAATGCCCAGCTGGGTAGGCTTGACTCATGTGACCATGTGGGCGTGGCCAATTCAACGTCACTCAAGTCGATGGGCATTTTGCCTTAGCTGTTACAATGTAATAAGGGTTAACCAGAGAGGCAGTTTCTGTAAGCAGGGAAATAAAAATTAGGCTAGAAACAATCCCAGAATGTTTCTTTCCTGCCTTCCTTACAGGATTAGCCCTGTAAAGTGGAAAAAACACCAAGTAAGATTTCTTCCAACTGCTTAGAAAGTTAACAACTGGTTCTCCCAAATAGGTGCAAACACGTGACGTTTTGCAATGTTTTTCCCATTCGCACAGCTGGGGTGGGTGTGGCCTGAGTGTGATGCATCTGGCCCGCAAGCCACCAGTTTGACACCCCTGATCTAGAAAAATGCAATAGATGGTAGAAGGAAAGGAACAATTAATTAAAATTGCTTCTTTTTTTTTGCACTTTAAGTGAGCTTCCATCGAATTGAAGGTCTTTCTGTTTCAGTCGGTTGGAATCTGGTTCTAAGTAAGTCATCTTTTACTTTCAATTCATTGCCATAAAGGAAGTCCATCAGAGGGGGGTTTCACATAGGTTTAACACTGGTTCACCATGCACCAAAACTGTGAACGCACGTGTGCACATGCTTGCTTCGTGAGCGTGTGTGCCTTCCATGCATGTGCTTTGCTCACACGAGCGGCTTGCACGCATGCACACAGCTTAGAAAACGTGGCTAAATATGACAACATAGAGCCGGGGTAGGGCGGCAGGGGCCCATCCACCAGTCACCACTACCGGTTTCCCAGAACCAGTCCAAATCAGCTGAATACCACCACTTAAATCCATGCTACAAAGCAACAGCTTTAGAATGTAGGGATGCTTCCAAAAGAGATTCTTTACCACTCAAGTTTATTCACTGAAGTTTATGTAGGCCAACATTTTTCTTCTTTTATTGTTTTTGTTTCCTTCAAAAAAGTATCTATTTAGAAATACCTGGAACTTCATGAAACACAACTTGACGACATCTTGGAACCTCCCACTAGTTCATAAACATGTCACAGGGACTCTTGTCAGATATTAAAACACACCAGTTCAATCTATTTTAAGCTCCATTCCATTAGACCAGTGGTTCCCAACATGGGGACCAAGCCCCACAGGGGGACAATTTGATTTTTAATGGGGGCAATTTGAACCTTGTTTAAACCAAGTTAATAGTCTTTTAGGCTTCCTCCGGGTGAGTACAGTTCACTTTTTGAATAAAGTAACAATTATATGTCACAAGGGTGGCGGACACCAGGATTTTAGAGATGCTTAGGCTGGGCATGGCCAAAAAAGGTTGGGAACCACTGCATTAGAGTCTTTCTGGGCTCGATTGGAATGTTGGACAGCTGGGTTCTAAAATATTTTAAGAAAACAAGGTTGGAGTTCTTGCCATAAAATACAATTTTCAAGTTAAATTCATCAGAAAAAAGAGAGAAAAGAATAAAATTGAATCATTGAACACTATCATTTTGCTACCAAATGTCAATGGAGTGATCTGGAGAGGAGAATCCATGAATTTTGTAAATGGCTGTAGGGGACATGAAGATCAAGGAGTGTGGGGTGTTCACTACATCTTTAAGAATTCTCTCCTCGGGAAGCTTAATTATTTATTAGAGTTTCTCCTTAATGTAAACGTTTATTTGTTTTTTTAATTATTATTATTTCATTTGTATGCCGCCCTTCTCATGGTTCCAGTAGATCCTGGTCTCCAAATACCTTTCTTTCCATTTTCATTTTGATTCAAATTATTACTTTTATGTAATTCTTATTTTATCAGTATTTACCCTGTTTCCCCAAAAATAAGACCTCCCCGGATAATAAGCACCATCGGGCTTTTGAGCTCATGCACTAAAATAAGCCCTCCCTGAAAACATTGCAACACAGTAGCAGCCATGAGCTGACCACGCTCACTGCCTCCTGCACCTCAAAAATAATAAGACATCCCCGAAAATAAGGCCAAGTGTTTATTTGGGGGTCAAAAGAAAATGAGAACCTGTCTTATTTTCAGGGAAACACGGTATTATAAACTAAGAGACTGATACAGATTTTTTTTAAAAAAATATCCACTGAATTCTTAAGCTCGGCTCAGCATTTCAGAGAGAAAGGATCCAACAATGTGAGGCATCAGCCAAGCCCCCTTACAACAAGTCTTGTTGTGAATTCCCTTGTGATCTTTGTGTTTTAATCAGTGAAGATGTCAGGGTTCAATCAATACTATAATACATTGAACAAAAGAAGGTTCTCTATGCAGAAGTCTTTCTAAGACCAGGTTGGATTTTCCTACTTGGAGCCATTTCAAAAATGGCAATAGCTTGGACTAGTATAAGATTTCTGGCTGAGAGGTCAAAAGTTATTGCATAAACAAATGAGATGTTTCGGCTGAGATGTTTTCAGAGTTGGGTTTTGAAAATTATACATTAAACTAGATAAATTTTCCGATGAATATTTCATTTTTTTAAATGCCATTCTAATTAAATAGGAAGGTGATATAGGGAGACAAGAAATCCCTGTATAGAAGAGAAATAATTTCTAAGCAGGTGGAAACCGAATTGTAGCAATACAAAAACATTTTATTCTTACCAACCGTTTGGTATGTTTTCAAGTACCAATGCATTTTTACGTTTCAACATGGTGGCAGCCTTGTTGTGCCCAACAGGATCTATTCTTTGATCTTAGCTAATATTCAAGAACACAGATGTGCCAACATCAGGCTTACAGGACAGATGTTGTTTTTCCCCTGGAACAATGAGAGCTACCAACCAAAACTAGGAACAACAGGAGAAGGGGAAAAGAGACAATTATCTACTGTGCTGCATGAATCATACGCCAGGATATATACAAATCTACATGCAAATTAGCATAGATCAGGATTTCTAACATATTGCTTTAAAATTGCCCGGCAAAACTGAATAAAGATTTGATCAAAAGCATCCAATTAGTGCTCATGTTTTACAGATGAGGGACACTGAGGCTGAGATACAAGCAATTAAGACAAAACAAGCTACTGCAGATAAAGTTTCCTTGCAATTTTATTCACTTTCATTAAAGTATTATTAGTCAGAAACCCTGGGAAATCTACTGCAAGTCACATAGAAACCTACCAGTTGATCTGAATTTGTACCCTGTTCATTCCTGTGATAGAAAATTATCAAGTTCACAGGGCTTATTTTGAACAAACAGGATGACAAACTAGAAAATAAGAATGAATGATGATTTTATACACATGAATAGACAGAAGACATCGTGTCCGGCCTGTGATTTCTTTAACATTACAACTTTTATATCTGACATTGACACTATATGTTTGGTATTTAGTTTATGTAATCAAATCACCATAAGAAAAGCTGAGCGCCAAAGAACTGAGGCCTCTGAACTATGGTGCTGGAGAAGACTCCTGTGAGTCCCTTGGACTGCAAGGCAATCAAACTGGTCAGTCCTAGAAGAGATCAACCCTTTAGAAGGCCAGATCCTGAAGATGAAACTCAAATACTTTGGCCACCNCTTTCACAGAGGCACTGAGTTTTATAAATATGAGCATGATAGTGTAGAATAATCATATCCAAGGACCAGTAGTGGGTTTCAAAACATTTTGGAAGCTCTTCTGTAGGTGTGGCCTGCTTTCTGGGTCCACTGGTGGAACCTCTTCTAACCGGTTCGGTAGATTTGACGAACCGGTTCTACTGTATAGGTGTGAACTGGTAGGAACCCACCTCTGGGTTACAGTATCAGCATACTGCCCCCAACAATTTGGGTCCTCCAACTTTGGAAGAATGGAAGGCTGAGTCAACTTTGAGCCCTGTCAGAATCGAACTCCAGACTGTGGGCACAGTTTGTCTGCAATACTGCACTACAACCTTTATTTGTCCCATTTTTTTTTGTGCTGATGTTTCACTTTAGGAAATCACTTGCGTAAGTTATTTATCCCCCAGGTAAAGTTCCCCAAATAGTTCTCCCCAAAGCCCCCCCGCCCACGGGGGTTGTTATTTCTGGCAGCCTTCCATGCATCTTTATTTGTTTCGGTCTCTTTTTTTTTAACCTTAGATTAATTCAGAATTCTTGCTCCTTGACAATATATTTCACATCTTTTTAAAAACTATGTTTTTTAAAAAATTGTCCACTGCCGTTGTAGCATTGTGTTCCAAAATAGAAAATGAAAAACTGCAACTCAGTCAAAAGATCTACAACCGTGATAGCAAATCCATGGCATGCGTGCCAGAGGTGGCACGGAGCACCCTCTCTGATGGCAGGCAAGCCATCGCCCCAGTTCAGCTCTGTTGTGCATGTGCATGGGAGGATCACGCGTATATGTGGGGGGGTCACTTATGCACGGAGTTGGCTGCGTGCAGGGATGGTCATGCGCACATGCAGGGGGCGGGGCACATGCAGGGGGGAAACGTTGTATTTTGGGGGGTTCACACCCTTTGGGCACTCGGTCCAGAAAAGGTTAGCCATCACTGATCTGGAACGTATACTAGAGCAAAATCATTGATCCTATTTGTGTGATCCTCTCTGACAGGGACTGACCCAATACTAACTATATCAAGCATGTGTATCCTTGCGCCTATTTAGAAATTATAAAAGCAATTACTGCATATTGCTTGTATATTGCTGTGTGTTTTTTCTATGGTTAAAGAAAAAGACTGTACTTTATAAAACTAAAGATCTTCTTTGAAGTACTGGCAGAAAAGTCCTGAAACTCTACCCATTTTTTTTTATTTCTGGTCTGAGACAATTCAGAATTCTTCTTCAATATTATCAAGAGTTTCCTGCTTATCAAGAGTTTCTCTCACTTACCTAAGCATGCCTCTAAGGAGGAACTCAAAGCAATCTTCTAGTGCTCATGAGAAAAAAGGACTTTCTCCATTACTGCATATAACTCTTGGGTTTGAACCAGTGGAATCCGGTCTGCATTTTCTGTGTGAATTAGGCATAATCTTCAAATGCATGTTAATCTATGAATAATCAATACAGATAGACCTTGACAGATGGCCACAACTGAGACCGGAATTTCCATTGCCAAGATTTGTTGCCATGATTATTAAGCAAATCCCTGCAGTTATTAAGTGAACCACACGGTCGTTATGAGAATCTTGACTTTGCTTGTCGGAAGTCAACTGGGAAGACGGCAACTGGCGATACACATGACCCTGGGACGCTGCAACCATCGTGAATACATACCAGTTGCCAAGCACCCCAAATTTTGATTCATAAGACATGGGGACTCGACTGGTTGTAACTCACTTTTGAGTTTCAGTGCCATGGTCACTAAACAAATGGATGTAAATTAAGAGGGACACAGTGGCTCAGTGGCTAAGATGCTGAGCTTGTCGATCAGAAAGCTTGGCAGTTTAGTGGTTCAAATCTCTAGCGCCGCGCAATGGAGCGAGCTCCTGTTACTTGTCCCAGCTTCTGCCAACCTAGCAGCTTGAAAGCATGTAAAAATGCAAATAGAAAAGAAAACCCACCTTTGGTGGGAAGGTAACAGT